TTTGGAGTAGGCCATTTCTCCAGGACTTTCACCTTATCGGGATTAGTCAAGATCCCTTCCTTACTAACGACATGTCCTAAAATAACACTCCGCTGTTGGACAAACTCACATTTTCTTGCGTTCAATTTCAACCCTGCAGTTTCTAATCTTGCTAATACGTTCTCAAGACGCTGATTGTGCTCTTCTAGTGTCCTCCCACTCACAATAATGTCATCCAAATATACAGCACAGTCAGTCCAGCACAGTCCCGCCAAAATCGTATTCATAGCTCGTTGAAATGTTGCCGGTGCATTAGTCAACCCAAAAGGCATTCTTTTAAACTGAAAATGTCCGTCTGGTGTGGAGAAAGCTGTTTTCTCGCGATCTTGCTCCGCGACTTTGATTTGCCAATAACCTCGCACTAGATCCAGATGAGTGAAGTAGGCTGCCCCCGAAAGCGATTCTAATATTTCGTCGCATCTCGGTAGAGGGAAAACATCCTTCTTCGTAATCGCATTCAGTTTAAGGTAGTCGATACAGAAACGCTCGCTCCCGTCTTTTTTTCTCACCAGCACCACCGGGGCCGACCAAGGGGATGTGGAAGGTTCAATCACGTCGCTTGCAAGCATCGATTCCACTTCTTCTCGTACAACCTCACGCTTATGAAACGGAAATCTACGCGGTGTAGCTTTAACTGGGATATGTTGACCAGTGTTAATAAAGTGTTGGACATCTCTCGCCTCTCCCAAGTCCGTTTTATTTTCCGAGACTATTACAGTATGACGTGCTAGTACCTTGTATACGCTTTCTTTCTCGCTCTCTAACAATGAATCGTTTACTATTGGAAAAAGTTCTTTAACCATGTCCATATTTTCTTTTGTCACTGGACTTGGCGTTGCCACCGAGCAAAGCCCTCCACCTTTCATCAGCTTTTTATCAGTCTCGATGATGTGCGTGTCAATAAAGTAGCAGTTTTCCGTTTCTGTATTCTTATCTTCTAACAATGGCCAAAATTCTCCAACAGTGCTTCCTTTGTAAATTGTTTTTCCTTTCGGTCCGAGGTTAAATAATCTCACAGGTATTTGTCCATTCTGTATCGTTGCAGCAACCTTCAATATTCCAGTTTTATAGCGCTCTTCAAATCGCACCATGGGCTCAAGAACTCCACTTTTATTGTTCTGAATCGTTCCATTCTCCACTTTACATGCAATAGTTATCATTGAATTTCCTGGCAAAACGACAGACTGGGCAATTGTAACCCGGCATACTTTACGCTCGTTTGAATAAGACAATGTTTCTTCTTCTCTTTTTATTCGTAATGTATTCTTCTCGAAATCTATTATGCACTTATGAGGTTTTAAGAAGTCTACTCCAATTAGCATTGCTTGTGCTAAATCGTTACAAATTAAAACGTCATGAGTTACTGAATTCCCGCATACTGAAATGTCTATCTCGGCAATTCCAATTATATTTAAAGGCGTATTGTTCGCACCCACGATTGTTTTTGTCGCGCGTCTCACTTCTGTTCCTTTATTACGTACTCGCGCCAGTAAATCCTCGTGCATGATAGTCACGGCTGCGCCAGTGTCCACCAAAGCTTTAACATAGTACCCGTTAACTCGACAGTTCACAAATATTGTGGCGTCGTCTGTTGCACTAGCTTTGCCTTTATTCCTAGACTCAGCGGTTTCAACACGTTTCGGCGCGGGCGGGGGCTCTATAAAGCGCCCGCCCTGTAGGCGTTTCCCTGATTCTGCGATTGACATTCTCGTGCGAAGTGACCATATTTTCCACAACGGTAGCACTGGCTATTTCCCCTTTGACGTCTTGGGTATGAGGCCGTATTTGGTTTGTTCACAAGAAATTTACTCATTTTATCCATCAGTTCCGCTTGTTGATCAAAGTACTTTTTCGCCCATCGTGGTGTTGATTGATTTTCCTCTTTCGCGCCCGCCATGTTGAGGCCTGCGGTATCTCGTTTATCTCTCGCGCCCGCCATGTCGAAGCCAGCGGTATCTTGCTCGTCTCCCGCCATGTTGATTTTCGCGGTGTTGTTGTTTTTCATTTCAGCCAAATGAATACTTTCCAGACGTAACGCTAGTTTTACAGCTTCATCGAGAGATTTTGGGTCACTTTGACTCACTCCGATACGTAGTTCCTTACTGTCGAGGGCACGGATAAATTGTTCAACGAGTTCCTCCTCGACAAGCGACTTATCCTTGTTTTGGTACGCCAGTGCAGCGAGTTGTCGCAGATCAGTTGCTAAATCTACAATGTTCTCCCCGTGTTTTCGTTTCCTCGCATTGAAGGTCAGCTTGTGGATTTTCCTTTGTTGGTCTGGCTGAATTCTAGACTGTAGTGTGTTCACTAGGTCGTCAAAACACGTCTTCTCGTTATCTTGAAGCGTCAAGTAGATTCGCTGAGCTCTGCCGCGAAGAGAAACAGCTAGCTGTTGGCAACACTGTGTGTCGTCCCAGTTGTTTTTCTGAGCACACAGCTTGAAGTGACTAATCCCCTCGTTCCACGGGCCGTCCGAGTAGTTATCTGGCTTTGCTTTCTGATTATTTACTTGAACCACGGGCAGGTTTAAACTCGACGATGGCGTCGCATCGTTTTCTGTCTTCTCCAGTTCCTCAACACGCTTGGTAAGTCTCTCAATTTCTTGAAGTAATTCAGCGCTAGACATTCTTTATATTTTGTTTGCCGCTGCCACCAATGTAATAATTTATTTCTGAAGATATATTAATATTAACAGTCTTACAACTTTCCTGTAGTGTTCGGATTTAAAACTATCGATCAACGCTCGTCCACGCCAGCCTATATTTGCTAACGTCAGTCTCTATAACGTCAGTCTCTATATTCTCTACACTACAAACGAGATTTAAACGCACTGATGGAAGATGATTTGCGTATTTCAAGTGGTAGACCGGCTATTCCAAAGCCTTACAACACGATTGAAGAATGAGTCTCTAAATAATGAAGTACGGAGACGGTGTACTGGATACAGATTCAAACTATCAGTAGAGCTCCTTGTGCGACTTGTAAGTAATCTTCAAGCTGTACGTTAAATGAACCGCTCATGCATATACTTATAAACAAAGCATAAGTCACGACACTCCAACCAGTACGAAATAGGAAGCAGGTTGAGACTAATCAAGTGGAGACTTGTAGTTGGTTCGGACATAATAATCTTTGCTGCAATGAGGATGAAACGCGTAGCTCGCCTCTGCACACTCTCCAATAGTTTTAAGTCCGTTTTGCATGACTTAGACAGGAAGAAAAAAATATATTTGAGTGCATCGATTAAAAATTAAGAATGATAGCTAAAATGTAGAGAAATTTACCAAAAAAATTGGGGGGAAATGGAACAAAGAACGATGGTTAAACACGAAAGAAGATTGAGAATTTTTTTGACGTTGTGCCTACTGTGTGAAGCAAAATAAAGAAAGGCAAAATATGCTAGCAGATATTTTGATGTTTTTTACCTTTGTCGGAAGAGATGACAACATCACTCATTCCTTGCTGATGTTTAGTTTCCAATGCAGTCTTATTCTTTAACGTGATCCAGGTCAAGCCATCCAGTTCTTCTCTTGGGATCGGTTTAGTTAGGAGACTTAATACGATGATGGTTGCCAAAGTCACAACAAACAGAATGATTCCTGGAGAAGAAAAATAAAGCCTTCGCTATTAGATACCTTAAGCCCTGGGCAAACTAGGAAACATTGTTGAGAAAACATTGTTTCCTAATTCCTACCAATGTTTCGCCATGTTTCCCAGAGTGGGCAAACACTAGGAAACATTTGTGAGAAACATAGGGAAACATCTAAGTTATCTACCTGAGTAGCAACAACACCAACACACACACAGTACACAACACCAACACACACAGACATCATCGTATCTCAGAATACATTGATATTGAAGGAACTAGACTCTGTTCCGAAATATCACCGACTTGACTTCGCAGCTCAGTTAGTGAAGCATTGGACAAGTATCCCAAAGGTCGCGCGGATTCGAATCCCACCGTGGTCAGGCAAACTTTTCAGCTTGCTCGGTGTGGATGCACACTCAGAGTAACAGCACAAACAACATTAGAGACCTTACGATCTTAGGACGGCAACGCGACGACGACGACCAAAACAACGTACGTACATTATCAATCGTATGAATTTAATACAGTCTTAGAAGTTGAAGACATGGGTTTTATGGTTGGGAAGAGTTCTACCCAGTTTGAGTTGCACTTGTTGCGGCTTGCAATGCAGCCGTTGTATCAGGGCGTGAAAATCTGTGATTTGGCGTTGTAAACAGAGCGAGGACAAAGTCTAAATTATTCATATAATTTATTGTAATTTTCAATTCTTTTCAATGATCTATTGTATTGGTAGCCGTTGCCGTCGCGTTGCCGTCCTAAAATCATAACTAGGGACATTTAGCAATTAGGTGACGGCAACGCGACGACGACGGCCAAAATCAACTCGTTCGAATAAGTAACTTTAAGATCAACATGTCTTGTATTTTCCGTTGTATGAATTTATTGCAATTTAAGAAGGTTACTAAGACAGAGGTTTATAGTTGAGAAGACTTCTACTAAGCCAATTTGGCGAGGACGACTTCTCGCGGCTTGAAAGGCAGACGTTGTGTACAAAACGTGAAAATCTTTGGTTTGCTTGGAAAATCTATCATTTGACATGGTAGATCACACCACATTAGTTGCGAAATTATTCAGCCTTGGTATTAAGCCCTGTGTGGTTAACTGGATTATTGACTTTTTACGTAATAGATGGCAAAGGGTCAAACTAAGTGATAATTGTTTCTCAGACTGGCTCCAAGTTCCAGCTGGTGTCCCTCAAGGCACACGACTTGGGCCTTGGCTATTCTTAGCCATGATAAATGACCTTGTGTTACATAATCACCTTTCAGAAATGTGGAAATTTGCCGACGATACTACGGTCTCTGAAATTGTTGAAAAAAACGAACAAAGTACTTTACAAATGGATATCGATGATATTACTACTTGGTCTATGGACAATTCCTTTCAACTAAACCCATTTAAATGCAAAGAAATGGTAATATCTTTTTCACGATTACCACCTGTTTTTGAACCTATACGTATAGGTGACCGAAATTTGGAAAGAGTGACAAGTATCAAATCGCTTGGAGTTATATTAAGAAATGACCTTAAATGGATAGACCATGTAAATTCAATTGTCTCCAAAGCAGCTAAACGTCTATATTTGTTGAGGCAACTCAAACGTGCTGATGTCGCTTCGGCAGATTTGGTCAAATTTTTTTCAGCTGTATAAGGTCTGTCCTCGAATATGCGTGCCAATTATTCCATAGTTCCCTGCCACGAAATCTTGCAAAAAACATTGAACGTATACAGAAGCGAGCAATGAAAATAATATTCTATGAATTGTCTTACGACGAGGCTCTAACATCGCTGGTATTTCTACTCTTGAAAACAGACGGGAGTATCTATCCAATAATCTCTTCAACGACATTGTTTTAAATGATGATCATAAACTTGCCAAACTTTTACCATCCAAAGCAGGCAATAGAGAATTACGAAAAGAAAGATCTTTTGAAGTTTTACCAGCAAATACAAATCGTTTCGGAAACTCTTTTATCAACTTTTATGCTAAGAAACATTACAAATTAGATGTTCCTTGAACATTTTAGAATTCTTAACTCATATAGATTAGTACATTTAAGTATATGATATATAGTATATATTAACAATTTTTAAATTGAATTGTAATATAGAATTTTTTACTATTTATAACCTTGTAACACTTAACGTCATGTAATTCAGTCTTCTGACTGCCAGATGATGTTTTTATTAAACAAACTATTCATTCATTCATTCATTCATGATGGAAATCATTAAAATTTTTGGTAGCACGTCCTGTTTCTATAGCTAGCTTCCTAAGCTTCGCCAATGGTTTATGGCAGAACGTTAACCGCAAACCTCAAATCGTATATATTTTTACACTTACCAAAGTACATATAGTGTATAGAAGCAAACGCAGGTCGTGTGTCGGGCTCGCCACATGCAGGACTGGCATAGATATATTCCGTAGCAAATCTCGCTGCTGCTAATAATAAGCCAATCAGAAAGCCTCCCAGCGCACCAGGCTCATTGGCTCGTGGCCAGACCAATCCCACGATGAATATGGCCATGATGGGTGAGCCGAAAAGGAACAGGATGGTTTGAATGTAGCGAAATAGCTTGCCACTGCCTCCCCCTTGAAAAATAAAAGCAGATATGTCTATGTTGTTGGTGGGCACAATAGACACTGAATTTGACGTTTGATTCGATATGTCTTAAGTTTGTGCTTTTCGCATGGCATGCATTCAAGGCAGTGGCTACCACCTACCGGGCGTGTAAGGGAGAATGCATCATCACCTCCAATGTTTGTTCAAGCTTATTTTCAGACAAATTCCTTGGTGATTTGAGCTGATTTTCAAGTTTTTTTGCTAGTGCACCTCTGTGAATAAGGGATTTAAAACATTTCATTTCCTCACTTTCAATCAAAGGCATCCAGACGAGACCCAGGACCACAAGGATAGCGACAATAGCTCGGCCAATCATAAGTTTTTCTCGGTCACTTGCCTAAAGAATGAACTCGGTGAGTCATATACAAATTATCTTAATTCACTTTAAAAAAGTGTATATGACATAAAATTTGCTATTGTCTAAAATGAAAGAACTGTTTAAAGCTGTAGTGTAACTCATTTTTCAGTTTCTAATTGTTTTTATGGTTTGTTCCCGAGACATTTCAGTTTGTTTGATATGTAAATGAATGTGAATATGTACGCTAATTTATGACATCACGTTGGTTGCAAAGCTCAACTTGCACTGATTATAAATCTATTAACTCTAAAAACTGCAGATATCAGTTCACGTTTTTCTCCAGCGTTTCATCACGTTTTACCAGTGAGTGAAATTTGACATTATTATCTTGGACGATAGCAGTGATATTCAACCATTTTGAGGAGCTTGCAACCAACATGACGTCATAAATTAGCGGACATGCATATTCACACTCATTTACATATGAAACAAATAGAGAATAATAAATGGGTACGCGGAAATACCTGATTTATTTCGAGTGTTGAACATGAGATATCATGTTCAACACGAGAAATAAATCTGGTATTTCCAAGCACCCATGTATTTTTCTGTTTATTATATAAAGAACAGTCTTTGAAAAGCGATAATTTTTTCAGAAAAGCGATACTTGAAAAGCGATAATTTTCACATGTGAGATTATCATGAATAATCTCACATGTGAGATTATCACTTTTATCAGTGCTCGAAATCTCTCTAAAGCACTATACTTTATATAATAAATTGAAATATCTCGGGAACAAACCATAAAAACAAGAAACTGAAAAATACGTTACACTACAGCTTAAAGAGTTCTTTCATTTAAGAAAATAGGGAAATTTCATATCATGTGCACTTTAATCTGCCAGACAAAGCAGGACAAATTTTTGCTAATTTCTAGTCCAATTTTTAATCAATTTGTTCTTGAGCAATGTACATTAATCCCACAAGTTTTCGTATTAATACGTTTGATATTTTTTGAGTTATCGTTCTGACAGACAGACAAACACACACAGAGACACACATGCAAACAACTAGGCATGAGAATTATCCAAAGTTGTGAATTCACTGCATTCGCGCGAGGTCATTCTTGGTGTACCAAATGAAATGTATATTTACCCTTGGTCGTAGTCTTTGCCATATGTCTATAGTAAATATTGTACTAGCACTGTTGTACACTGAGGATAGTGACGACATTACTGCCGCTAGCATTACTGCCATCATTATTCCGACCATCCCTGTGGGTAACAGATTGAATACCAATCTAGAGGTGGTAGCAAATTAATTGAGTTTATTGATTGTAAATTCGGATAAATGGTTTAGTAATTATCTATGATAAACAGAGTTTGAATATTTACCACTTTCTTGTTCTCTGTTACAGCTCTCAGCGCCAGAACATGCAACATTGTCTTTAACTAAAAGACCACCATCATCATCATGACCATCATCAGCATCACCATCACCGCACCCAACAATCACCATCACCACCACCATCCTCATCAATACCACACATAATTACCTTGGATAAGCTAAGTTTGAACATCCTAACTTATTTCCACACGCTCTCTCGCAGCTCTCAGCATCAGGACATGCGACATCATCTTTATATAAAACTCGGCTGATCATTCCAGGGAAGACCATAATAAACATGGGCAATATCTTGAGAAATCCAGCAAATATTGTCCCGCCTTTCGCGTGTACGACACTCTTGGCTGCCAAAGCACGTTGAACCATCACCTACAAAATATGCCAGTGAACCTTCAGGTCACTGAGAGGGTCCTGTTGGGGGGAAGAATAGGTTCGCTCGTCAGGGGCCTGTTGTTCAAAGCTGGGTGAGCTTAACCCTGGGTTAACCTAAAATTCAAAGCAAACTTCCTCACAGCTTGTCTATAAATGTGGACATATTTCTTCAGAGATCTTGTCTAGATCGATAGGAGTTTACTTCTGTGAAGTTTTGAAATAAACAGACGTGCAGAAATACATAAACTAAAACCGTTGGTTAAATTTTAACCCATGCAGAATTAGCGCTAACCCACCTTTGAACAAGCGGCCCCAGACGTTTAAACCTTACAATGTCACAGTATTGAAAGGTTGCCTTGTCGCTTTCATAATTCTTTATATTGTTCTCGTGTCATATATCCACCTTAGACAGCGTTTGTGTCGTGTGTCCATTTCAACGGACTTCGATGTCTTGGATTTGCCTTAACAACGGATATGATTCCCAAGAGCTTATTGCTACATCTTACAGCCCCTGAAGTATGCGTTATCTATCGACCCTTTTTTCTTGCATTACTTATAGCATAACAGTAATACCACTAAGTGACGATCCAGTGCTCGGAATGTTCCATTGTCATTACATTCGTTTTGAAAATTCCCGGCACAGTAGTCCACAGGCATAACTTTTTGTGTACCTGAGATCGCAAAAATTATTTGAAAATGAGCCCGCAAAATCTCTGCATGATAAAGAGAAATCAAGAGATGATGCATAGAACCATGAGTTATGACTGGGAGTAATGACTTTTGTTTTAATTTCTATCAAAGACTTTAACAATTTCAAATTAATGAAGCTGGATACGTCCAGACTTACACAGAGCACAACGGATCGAAATCTAATAGGTTATAGGTGTTTCCAGCTATAGACTAAATTTTGATCAAGGCAAGACGAACGAATCCAACACCACAGCTAGAAAGAGCGTCTTAGAATGAGTAAAACTGCAAAGATTGGTTGCTAAATGTTGTAAAATGAAGAAAATATAGCCGTGTGAAGTTTGCAAATTTTGTATATATTTGTATTACACGCGGTAAAAATAACCACTTTCGGCTTAAATATATACAAAATTTGCGAACTTCACAGTGACATATTTTCCTAATTTTACAACAATTCGCAACCAAACTTTGCAAGAAAGATTCTGGGAGAAAAAAAAATAATGACAAATATTTTTCGAATCGGTTTATGGTCTATACTCGATGCAGCTGCCTTTTATAAGAAAGGAAAGGAGGGAGTCGTATGAATAAAATAAACCATACGAAACAAAGATAATCATAGCAATTGATAGGGATGCAAGGTTCTTCGTCGGACCTTACGATGTGGAGCGGCAAAGTGGCGACGACAGCTATTCTACCGCAATGAGATTCATAATATTTAAGAAATAAATGAATAATTAATATCCCACAGGAGTTTTGATTGAGACATTATCCACGGTCTGTTTATAACGGGAGGCTACAGACTTTTACGTCTTGGATAAAACGCCTGCAAATTTCGAGATGCGATAGCTCAGTATTACAGTAAGTAGAACTTTCTCAACAATAAAACCACTATTTCCAGCTAACCAAACAGTGTTAAATTGATACGATCGATAATAGTCTACAAACTTTCTTTACCATCGTTTATTTGAATGATTTTATTCTGGCCGTTGTCATTGCTTTGCCGTCCTACATCGTTAAGGTAATAGAGACCTTACGATTTTAGGACGGCAACGCGACGACGACGGCCAAAACAAACTCCTTCAAACAAATGGTAGTAAAGATAATTCGTTGTAGATAATCGATTATCAATCGTACGAATTTAATATAGTTTTAGAAGTTGACGGCATGGGTTTTATGTTTGGGAAGAGTTCTACTAAATCCAGTTTGAAGTTGCATTTGTTGCGGCTTGCAATGCAGCCGTTGGCCCGTTGTATCAACACGTGAAAATCTGTGATTTGGCGTTGTAAACAGAGCGAGGACAATGTTTAAATTATTCATATATTGTAATTAATCAATTCTTTTCAATGGTTTATTGTATTGGTAGCCGTTGTCGTCGCGTTGCCGTCCTAAAATCGTAAGGTCTCTAATAGCCGACGAAGGGAACAGCGAGATTCTCCTTGTATTTTTCAGGTAGTTGCTTCCCTATCAATCCGAAGCTCTCTCAAGAAAAATTATTGCCGATTTCAAAAGAAATCATAAGGTTTATACTATACCTGATCAGTGCACCAGTACCAAATCTCGACAATGGGTAAAGCGAACCAGAGGCCAAACCATGGAAAGTCCGGATCATCAAAAGGACGGAACATATTTGCCCAATATGGAGTAAGACCATAACAACTTGATGAGTTACCATGACTCTCCGATATCGTGCCATTGACGGTGACATTCTCCATCGTTCGCCAATTACGACCAAATGATTTCGGGTATTCTTCCCACAACTTTTCTAAACCGCCGATCTCTATAAAACCTGGAATAATTTTGTTTAAAGAAATGTAAGTCAAGCATCTTCAACTTATGTATATGATTGTGTTCATATGTTTATTCCCTTTGTTAGCTGACAAACTCGTTATTACGGTCCACAAACGAACTTTGGTAAAGATATATAAAAAAACCCCAAAATTGTCAATTGTACGTAAAAATTGGCAAAATGAGTAAAGAAACAGCGGCATCTTAATAGGATATTTCGAATTTTTTTTAACACCATTCTCCCCCCCGTGGACACATATTTTGGGAAATGTATGATGATGAGCGCCTCCACTGACGAACAGGAGCCAGCAGGCCACTGTCTGTTAGTCTGTTAGATTGTTAGTCGGTTATTTCTAAGTAGGATAAGTATTAAGCGATCGATACTTTGATGTTTGAACAAAGGACCCATAGCAAAGAAATGTGAATGCACTTACCTAATATCGTGAGTATTATAGCGCCAATAAGCATAATGCTGACTTGTAAAATATCTGTAAATGTAACTGCTTCAAGACCGCCTAAAATTAATTAGAATATAGACGTCTCATTTGACCTGTAAGATTGCACAGCAGGGAGAGGGAGACGCTGGGGCTTCATGATACTGAACGCATATGGACCATATGCCATTTCACTATATAAAAAATACTACTAGTTGCATGCTCAGCTGGCTATACTATCATTGCATGCAAGGTTGAAATATATTTCTCCATTTTTACGTGACACTGCCATTGGTTTGATCAGTTTTGAAAGAGTTTCAATTGCACATAAAATTTTGCATGTGAAAAGATGTGTGAATATAGTTGGGAGGGGGATTGAAAAAAAGCACGCTTTTGTGAAAATGCCGATAATTAAGGACGAGCCCTTACCAACAATTACATACACAGCCGTAATACTCAGCACAACAAATGCTGATATGTAAATATTCCATCCTGTTGCTTCTCGGAAATAGACACTGCCAGCGTAAATATCGATCTGAAGAGAGAAAGCGAAAGTGAATAAAAGTTTGTCGGTGTGTTTTCTTATTTCTTCAATTATTTCTCTTTATATGATTCGTCCTGTTTATTTGTTTCGTTCTTCGTTCGTTTATTAAATCTGTCTGTTCCATTGTGCGTAAATTTCGCTGTACTACTTCCCAGGCCTAGTCAGGGGGTTACCAAAATACAAATATACCCGATAATACTGGCTCAATATACCAGCATATACCCAAAGTTCCAAGCTAATTATGTCTGCATGCGTGATTACTTAATATTCAGTCCGGTAAATGTAGGATACTTAATAATGGAGCCGGTTGTGCGAAGGCAGGATTGAAGGCGCTATCTGCATGGGTTAACGTGTAATAGTCAAAGTATACTTCACATGCAGGAGATGGTTAAGAAATTGGAAATGCTTTTTGTCGGAAATCTTGTCTGTATCGTCAGATCGAAGTTTAATTTTCTAAAGTTTTAAAATAAGCAGACGTACAGATATTAATAAACCAAATCCATGGGTTAAATTTAACCCACTGTTTTCACTAATCATGCTTTGAATAGCCGCCCCCCGGCCTTCGTACAGTCAGCCCTTACCAAAAGTAAAATGGTGTGAATATCAATTTACTTGAAATTCCTAGCAGGGCTTGACTTACCGAGATTTTAGTGAAGACATAACTCACAAGGGTTATAAATGTCAAAATAGTGCGGATGGACTGACTTTGATAACGTTTCTGCATATATTCCGGCATTGTGTATATCTGAAACAAAAATTGTATTAGCATTAATAGATATTTCGTGGCTTTTATCTGGGCAATTAGCAAATGTAGTTACGTGGCGATGTTACACAAAGCAATTTTAGTGGAAAGAGCAAATACAATTTTGGATACAGAGCCATGTTATCAAAAAAGTAGTCATACTTGACTGACTATGTTCCTAGATGTGTTGACAAGTCTATAACAAGTTGTTATGAATGGTGTTATCATCATGTTCTGACTAGACTGATGAGGGCAACAGACTTGCAACAAGTTGTTCCAACAAGTCCGATAACAACTTGTTTTAGACTTGTCACAACAACTGGGAACAAATAGTGCGAACACATGCATCCTGATATCTGTTTGACAACAACCTTGTTACAACCTGTTTGCATAAAAAATGCCTCGTGTAACATGACCCGACTTCAGGGGCGAAACTAGCCCCTTTTAATTCGGGGGGGGGGGGGTGTCTGCCAGAATTGCCCTGCCAAAACCGATGATGCCCTGCAGCAAACTTTTATTTCTGGCCACTATTTTTCCAAAAACATTTTTCCGGACATTAAAAAAAGGGTCTAATAATTTTCCCGACACAAACCGGTTAAATTAAGGTTCAAAAATTTTTTTCCGTACAAATTCCTGTTAAAACATGGGTGAAACCCCCCTTATTTTTGGACCAATATCTGTACAATTAGGTCTATAAATTCTATTCAATTCCCTCTGAAAGCCCTGTAAGTTACTTAATAACTCTACATTCTGTTATTTAAAATCTTTGGTTGCCCTGTCAATCCGGATGATTTGTATTTGGGGGGGGGGGTGGCACCCCCACATACCCCCCTCAAGTTTCGCCCCTGCCTGGCTTTAAATGTAAAGCAGAGACAATATATAAATACGTCTTTACTTACTCCAGATGTTAAATAAACTGGAACAAAAAAGTATCCGAGGATTAGGAGGGTCCACGATGCCTGGAAATAATTTTTGTACTGTGTGTTATTTTCAGTCAAGATTAGCGTTTGGGCATTGTTTAGATCCATTGTAAGTTGTTTTTAGTTAAGGGGACTATCTACTCTGATGTTTCACAAAAGTTTTGACCATTGCTAACCAATCGAGCTAAAACTTCCTGTGTGGGTAGAATTCTGGCTGAATCTTCCTATAAAGCTCATGAATATCTTTCTTTAGTCAACCATAAAAATTCAATCATCTACATATCACCAATTAACAGAACCATCAGCATTACTGGTAAATATACCACCACGAACACCTCAATATCACCATACCTGCCATTCATAGAAAATGACTGCCATGACAGTAGCATGACCAGGAATACCAATAAAATGCGCACCACCAATACTACTGGTAAATATACCATCACCAACACCTCAATACCACCATACCTGCCATTCATAACAAATGACTGCTATGCCAGTAGCGGCACCATCACCAGCAATACCAATAAAATGTGTTCCACCAATGTTACTTGCAAAGATGCTTCCCCCCACCATCCACCAGACTAAAGAACGACCGGCTAAGAAAAAACTCTCTGTCGATTCCTGTCTTCGTCCACGTCGAAATTTTACCTGAGTACATCAATCAATGAGCTCAATCGATCAATCACGCAATTAATCACGCAATTAGTCAGACAATCGATAAATAAATCATTCAAACCGAATAAATTACATTAATTGGTTAATTAATTAATCAATCAATTGGTCAGTCAATGAATTAATATATCAATTCATTAATCAGTCAATCCAATTAATCAATCATTTAGTAATTCATCATCTATCTTTCAACCAATTAATTAATCAGTCGAACAATTAATCAATCAATTATTCAATGAGTCACTAATTAATAAATAAAATTGATCAAGTCAGTTAATCAAGTCAGCCAATTCATCAACGAAATCTATCGGATCAATCTATGTCAATTAGATGAATCAAATCAGTCAATCAAATCAATCAGCCAAAATCAGTTAACCCAGGTAGTTAAATTAATCAAATTAAATCCCTGATTAACGAAGTAAATCAATGTCAAGCAAGTCGAGCAATTGACATTCAAATCGATTAATTTGTAAATGAAATCAATTAAATTAGTCAATCAAATCAATCAAGTCAGTCAAAGAAATAAAAAAATCCGAGTCAATAAACTATTAATCAATTGGTTCATTAATCAATCAATCCGACAGTCAATAAAATCAATCAAGTGAGTCATTCAATCTCTCAATCAAACGGCCAGATCAATGGTTGTCCACTTGTCCATGTAAAAAACGCCGTAATACTAACCGCCAGACCAAGACCAATGGTAAAAACAAAATAAATGGCGATCGCCAACCAATCTTCCCATACCAGTCTGCGGTTGTTTGTTCTCATCTTAGGACTAACGACGACACAGTGTTTCACGGAAAATCAATTTGGTGGGCCTGGAATTACAACAACAAGGCTTAACTTCTACTCGAGTTACAGCGCAATGCTATACTGATTCCAAAAAGATGTTCGCTTACGAGAGATTTTAGTTTATAGTATGATGAACCAAAAAACCAAACCCATAGTCTTGGGTCTCATGACGTCATATATCCACTCAATTGGGGGGTCAAGGATTTGTGTCATGGGTAAGGGACAGATTTTATATTGTGTATATTATTTTATATACACATTGGCTTTTTTAATAGTCGGACAACTCATTTACATAAAATGCGTTGACGGCTATATTGTTTCTTTGTTGTTTTAGTTCACCCCTGACCCTGTTCAAAGGTTGACCTCCACTAGAGTATTAATGTCAGAGAAGGCAGACAACACACACACACATATCAGTGTCAAGCAACAGAACATTTATTTCAAACAACAAAGTAGACGTACTCTTCGTCATGAAGAGTATCACGAAGAGTATTAGTATACTTAGTGTAATTGTCAAATATATAAAACACAGCCTAAATTATACACCAAACACGCGGTTTACCCGTAACTATGATGAAACTAATTGCCTGGTTTCCATACGGTCGTAACAGTCGTATTAAAGATTGAGTCACGATCTTTCTCATTATAACATAGATTATAACTAGAGAATATTATGATTTATATGTAGTTTACAGATATAAACTATTAACTATTATAAACTGGCCGTTGAGAAAGATCGTGACTCTATTTTTTGAAATTATTACGACCATATGGAATCCAGGCTTTAGGGAATTCATAACGGCCTGCGCAGAAAGTAGAATAGATCTATATCGTTGGATGCATGCAACATTGACATTGTTTCATAGCCAGAAATCACGAACATAATTTATATCTACTTCCTTGCTATTAAATTTGCATAACCCGACAAAACCCGTTGAAATATGCCGACGATGCATAACCCGACGATGCATAACCCGACGATGCATAACCCGACAAAACCCGTTGAAATATGGCTCCTGCAGTAAACAGTAAATAATAATTACGCGATGCTGTAAATCCCAAAATCAGAGAATACGGTAGGTCGTTAACGTCGTCTGCAGTTTGCCGCAATTGCTGGTTGCAGAACATAGTTTCCCTGGTGTAAGTCTTTTGTTATTCTGAATTTTCGTTTCTAACTCCAGTGGCAGTAGTGCGGTATTCTTAATTTATATGGGGTTTGAATATACAAATGTCGTAAAGAAACCAACCTCTGTACAAATATTGAAACTACAGAATAGGCAGTAACTGAAATCAGGCCCACATTACACTAAATACTTCGACAGACTTCGTTTTGCAGCCAGCGATTGAGGCAAGTTGCAAACGACCTATATACTTTATTCTCAAATTTCGCAATTAACAACGTCGCACAAAATTCACCGACTGTTATATATGCAAATTGCGAAGGAAGTAGAATAAATCATATCTATGATTTCTGGCCATGTGACAATTATGTTTGGGAGATAAATGTCGGAGTCGTTTAGACGGTTCTTTACTGCAAGTTGCAAGATTGATACACATCACAATTTCAATATAGATATGTATATACGAAAGTTAAACGTGATTTTCGTAGCAAATCCTTACCTGTTAGTGTATATATTCTGTCTTGCTCTCTCCGGAGGTGGGTTTCATAAACGTGGAAAATGTGTTTATTCAATATACCTCGGCAACCGTAGGTGACCACTGTTCAATACAATAATAGAACTCTGCATGTAATTGAATGAACACAGTTCAAGTTTGATATCATGTTATATACAAGCACAGATCAAATGAGGATGAGAGTGTATGGGAGTTGGCAGTTCACTGCTTTCACAACTCTATCACGTATTTTAAAGTTAAAACGCAGTTGGAACACTCATAACACCTTTATTTTTTTTCTTAAAATATGTGCCCTGCAGTGCATATATCAACTGCCATCCTCGTTTGATTGGGGTTTTCGCCTTTATATACGTATATAACAATTGATCAACACATCTGGTTTGCAATGAAAAAGGTCATCTGTTGACATTGTATTCAAAATTTACAGGGTGTATAAAAAAAAACGCAACCTCGGAATTTCCTAAGAAATCACTTTGCAATTCTTAAGCATAAAAGATTTTAGGCCCCTGGGAATTGAAATCGAATTGCTAATAGATCATATTACTGTTGTTGTGATTAAATAAATGCATAAATTTTGCTTTATGTACTCGCGTGTGCAGTAATTTTGACAGTTGTGCTATTTTAAATTCCCAGGCGTCTAAAATCTTTTGTCTTTGAAACAATGTCGATTTCTTGGGAAATTCCGAGGTTGCGTTTTTTTATACACCCTGTATGAACAACGAGAGCGAGTGTTTCACCGGCCGGATATCCAAACACGAGAAAACAATGTATGAAAACACGAGCGCGAATTTTCGAGTGTTTGGATATCCCGGTGAGACACGAGCTCGAGTTGTAAGTTGTTTATATTGCTTCTCAAATGAATCGAGACGTAACAGAATGTTTTCGTTTGCTGATTTGAATAGAATTCCTAACGAGGCATATCGTAATTGGGAATTCTATTGAGATACACATTGCGGCATAACTGAAGTGGGCTTTTCACGATGTATAGATAATGATTTGATTGTTCGTATTTAAGTCATGTAGACGTCAAAGAGTGATTGCGATTAAAGCAATTTTGGGTGTGAATTTGTTTGCTGACTTGATTTTGCATACGTAATTAAGATATTTGATGAAAACACTAGTGACTTTCACCAAATATCTTAATTACGTATGCAGCTAAACACTTATGTTGCCGTGTCTGACTGTGTTTGACCACGGTATCCAAACAGCATCTTGTGACGGAATGCTTACATGCTATTGGTTTAATTACTCATGAATTATTAATGAATTTGTGATCACCTCGCCTTTGGCGAATAATTGTTATTTGCATGCCTGATATTCAATTGCATGCCTGATATTCTATACATACAACGGATAATACAAGACATGTTGATCTTAAAGTTACTTATTTGAACGAATTTGTTTTGGCCACCGTCGTCGCGTTGCTGTCACCTATTTGCTAAAGGTCCCTAACAACTAACAACAGGAAGGGCTGCCAATAGACTTACAAGTTTCCAATTTCCATGTACTTATTAATCTAATCGTATCAAAAACGTTCCGTAACTTAAGAGAATAATGTTTATACAAACGAGATTTAAACGCAATGATTGAAGATGATTTGCGTATTTCAAGTGGTAGACTATTTCAAAGCTTTACGACGCGATTGAAGAAGGAGTCTCTAAATAATGAAGTACGGAGACGGTGTACAGGATACAGATTCAAACTATTAGTAGAGCTGCTTGTGCAACCACTCGAGACTTGTAAGTAATCTTCAAGCTGTACACTAATGAACCGCTCATATACTTATAAACAAAGCATAAGTCACGACACTCCAACCAGTACGAAATAGGAAGCAGGTTGAGACTAATCAAGCAAGACTTGTAGTTGGGTCGGACATAATAATCTCTTGTTTGTGATGTTACTCTGAGTGTGCATCCACACCGGGCAAGCTGAAAAGTTAGCTTGACCACGGTGGGAATCGAACCCGCGACTTTTGGGATACTAGTCCAATGCTCTGCCAACTGAGCTATATGGTCAAGTACTAGTCGGTTCGACTTGATGATATTTCGGAACCGAGTCTAGTTCCTTCGATATCCGTATATTCTATGATATGATTATTTTGTGTGTGTTGGTGTTATGTACTCAGGTGAATATGATGTTTGTCAGAGTAACATCACAAACATCATATTCACCTGGGTACATAACACCAACACACACAAAATAATAATCTTTGCTGGATGAAACGCGTAGCTCGCCTCTGCACACTCTCCAATAGTTTTAAGTCCGTTTTGCATGATTTGGACAGGAAGACAAAAAAATATATATTTGAGTACACCGATTAAAAATTAAGAATGTGGCTAAAATGTGGAGAAATTTACAAAAAAAATAGGGGGAAAATGGAACGAAGAACGATGGTTAAACACAAAAGAAATTTTTTGACGTTGTGCCTACTGTGAAGCAAAATAAAGAAAGGCAAAATATGCTAGTAGATATTTTGATGTTTTTTTTTACCTTTGTCGGAAGAGAAGGTAACATTACTAATTCATTGCTGATGTTCAGTTTCCAATGCAGGCTTATTCTTTAACGTGACCCATGTTAAGCCACCCAGTTATTCTCTTGGGATCGGTTTAGTTAGGAGACTTAATATGATGATGGTTGCCACAGTCACAACAAACAGAATGATTCCTAGAGAAGAAAAATAAAGCCTCCGTCATCAGATACCTTACGATTGGCGAAGCTAACCATGGCAATGGCAACTGGTCATGCTATGCATGCTAATAAACCTGCATCTACAATACATTTCTAAAGTATCATGATTTCTCTGAACGTGTTCCAAACTAAATTGGGATTTTCCAAAGTACGCGATTTCGCGTGTTTGTTTTAAATTATGCGGAATTTCTCTTTTTTTCCGCAAAATCTTGACAGTTTCCTAAAATATGTATAAAATAAAAAAAATTTGCTCAAAAATTGACCTAAAAACCAAGCAATGCGGATTTTTTTCCTACACTACTCTCGCAAAATCCAGTTAAAAATATTAATTTGTTAACGTATATTTCATATTTTAAAGTAAATTTTGCGTCCAATTACAACTATCCGCAGAAAACAGGAAATCAGCCAGAAAAAGTTGACTTCACAGCGCAAATATCGGTTTGGTGGTTGCAATATGCGGAATATTTGTATTCCACTATTTTTTCCGCAAAGACGTGATAAAAACAAGGTTTTAGGCAATTTCGGTTGGATAACAGAATATTGATCGCTGGAAGCTATGAAAAGGTTCAGAATTTCTGAACCTTGAAAATCTGAAATCAATGAATATAAGCGGAATATTTACGGCGAAGAAAGCTACAAGGGGTTCAGAATTTCTGAACCCTGAAATCTGAAATCAATGAATATAAGCGGAATATTTACGGCGAAGAAAGCTACAGGAGGTTCAGAATTTCTGAACCCTGAAAATCTGAAATCAATGAATATAGGCCTAAGCGGAATATTTACAGCGAAGAAAGCTACAAGGGGTTCAGAATTTCTGAACCCTGAAAATCTGAAATCGATGAATATAAGCGGAATATTTACAGCGAAAAAAGCTACAAGGGGTTCAAAATTTCTGAACTCTGAAAATCTGAAATCAATGAATAAGTTGAATATAAGCGGAATATTTACAGCGAAGGAAGCTACAAGGGGTTCAGAATTTCTGAACCCTGAAAGTCTGAAATCAATGAATATAAGCAGAATATTAACAGCGAAGAAAGCTACAAGAGGTTCAGAATTTCTGAACCCTGAAAATCTGAAATCCATGAATATAAGCGGAATATTTACAGCGAAGAAAGCTACAAGAGGTTCAGAATTTCTGAACCCTGAAAATCTGAAATCAATGAATATAAGCGGGATATTTACAGCGAAGAAAGCTACAAGGGGTTCAGAATATCTGAACCCTGAAAATCTGAAATCAATGAATATAAGCAGAATATTTACAGCGAAGAAAGCTACAAGAGGTTCAGAATTTCTGAACCCTGAAAATCTGAAATCAATGAATATAAGCGGAATATTTACAGCGAAGAAAGCTACAAGAGGTTCAGAATTTCTGAATCCTGAAAATCTGAAATCAATGAATATAAGCGGAATATTTACAGCGAACAAAGCTACAAGAGGTTCAGAATTTCTGAACACTGAAAATCTGAAATCAATGAATATAAGCGGAATATTTACAGCGAAGAAAGCTACAAGGGGTTCAGAATTTCTGAACCCTGAAAATCTGAAATCGATGAATATAAGCGGAATATTTACAGCGAAAAAAGCTACAAGGGGTTCAGAATTTCTGAACTCTGAAAATCTGAAATCAATGAATATAAGCGGAATATTTACAGCGAAGAAAGCTACAAGAGGTTCAGAATTTCTGAACCCTGAAAATCTGAAATCAATGAATATAAGCGGAATATTTACGGCGAAGAAAGCTAGAGGAGGTTCAGAATTTCTGAACCTTGAAATCAATGAATATCAGCGGAATATTTACAGCGAATAAAGCTACAACGGGTTCAGAATTTCCGAACCCTGAAAATCTGAAATCATTATGAACATAAACGGAATATTTACAGTAAAGAAAGCTAAATGATAACCCCGAAAATCTGAAATCAATTAATATTAACGGAATATTTCATTACGGTGAAGAAAGCTAAATGGGGTTTAAAGGCGAGCTGTGATTGCAACCCTGTATTCACTGAGCTGGAGAGTGAAAGCAAAGTGAATATAGGCTAAAGCCTTGTAATCAACTTGCCTTCAGCAACTAAGTGTTTTCAGTTGGTATAAATTAAAAAAAAATGGAAAAAAGCATTCGAAACATATTACAATAATTCCAAAACTTTTAAAAAGACATCCAGGTGACTTCAATCCTTGTCAATCAGATGGCAGGAAATTTAATCGTCACCTCATTAATCATTTAATAGTAAGTTTACATTTGGATGCAAATAAATCAGTATCTTATCATGGTGTTATGTACTCAGGTGAATATAATGTTTGTGATGTTCCTCTGAGTGCGTGCATCTACACCGGGCAAGCTGAAAAGTTTGCCTGACCTCGGTGGGAATCGAATCTACCAGAGTAGCTGCACAACACCAACACACACAGACATCATCGTATCTCAGAATACATTGATATCGAAGCAACTAGACTCTGTTCCGAAATATCACCGACTTGACTTCGCAGCTCAGTTGGTAAAGCATTGGACTAGTATTCCAAAGGTCGCAGGTTCGAATCCCACCGTGGTCAGGCAAACTTTTCAGCTTGCCCGGTGTGGATGCACACTCAGAGTAACATCACAAACAACATTTCTAAAGGTTTGAATGATGCAAATCATTAAAATTTTTGATATCGCGTCCAGTTTCTATGGCTAGCTTCGCCAATGGTTTACGGCAGACCGCTAACCGCAAACCTCAAATCGTATATATTGTACACTTACCAAAGTACATATAGTGTATAGAAGCAAACGCAGGTCGTGTGTCGGACTCGCCACATGCAGGACTGGCATAGATATATTCCGTAGCAAATCTCGCTGCTGCTAATAATAAGCCAATCAGAAAGCCTCCGAGCGCACCAGGCTCATTGGCTCGTGGCCAGACTAATCCCACGATGAATATGGCTAGCCTCCTCCGCAGGCATCTCGTGGTACTTATCTCCCTCCACAGGGAGCCCAATCAGAAAAACATCATGGTTATTTATTTGAATAACTAAAGAGATGCCTGCGGAGGAGGCTAGAATATGGCCATGATAGGTGAGCCGAACAGGAGCAGGATGGTTTAAATGTAACGAAATAGCTTGCCACTGCCTCCCCCTTGAAAAATATAAGCAGATATGTCTATGTTGTTGGTGGGCACAAAAGACACTGAATATGACGTTTGATTCAATATCTCTTTTCTTTTTCTCGGTCACTTGCCTAAAAATGAACTAGGTGAGTCATATACAAATTATCTTTATAATTCACTTAAAAAAGTGTACATGACCTGAAATTTCTTATTTTCTGAAATGAAAGAACTCGTCAAGTTGTAGTGTAACTTATTTTTCAGTTACTTGTTTTTATGGTTTGTTCCCGAGGTATTTCAATTTGTTTGATAAGTAAATGAATGTGAACGTGTCCGCTAATTTATGACGTCACGTTGGTTGCAAGCTCAACTTACACTGGTTATAAATCTATTAACTCTAAAAGCTGTAGATATCAGTTCACGTTTTTCTCCAGCACTTCATCACATTTACCAGTGAGTGAAATTTGAAAATATTATCTTGGATGATAGCAGTGATCAGGGACACCGGAACGATGTAAAGGCAAGGGGGACAGATTTTCGTGAAAGGGCACTTTTGAATTGATAGAAACTAAGAGATGTTTGCAAAACATCTGGAGTTGAACTTGGCCTAATCATGTTTTCTATTTATTGGATGATAGGGGTGTGAGGGGGTTCTCCACCAAGCGATTGTGCTATTCTTGAAGCTCGATGACGGCAAATTCGTAAAAGTGAATGACAATTCGCTATTTCGCCAAGGCAATCCTTTAAATTAAAAGGGCACCTTTGCCCCCTTGCCCCTCCTGCTAAAGAGCAACGGAGGCGGCTGCCCCTCCTGCCCCCCCCCCAATTCCGGGGTCCCTGGCAGTGATATTCAAACATTTTCAGGAGCTTGCAACCAACATGACGTCATAAATTAGCGGACATATTCACACTCATTTACATATCAAACAAATTGAAATATATCGGGAACAAACCATAAAAACAAGAAACTGAAAAATACGTCACATGACAGCTTAAAGAGTTCTTTCATTCAAGAAAATAAGAAATTTCATGAGTTGAGTTATCATTCTGACAGACAAGCACACACAGAGACAGGGGCGTAGGAAGCATAAAAATGTTGGGGGGGGGGGGGCAGGGCCCGTGGCTAGCAAATATAGTTGGGGTGGGGGTGTAAGCCAAAAATGTCCGAATGACGAAAAAATTTTTCGAATATTTAATTGCCTACGAAGCCACGAAGGTGTTTGCTATCCGGAAAATGAAGACGCAATTCACAACTTGCGCTAACGCAAAGCATCATGGTAGTTTAGTTATCACGGCAGAATTTGCATGATGGCGGCTGTTCACTTTGCATATGCGTGCGTGGTCAATAGATGAAATTTACACGAGTAATATTTTCGTTTAGTTCTCAATAAAAGCTTTCTGACATTCTGTGAGGTTTGTTTTAGTCTGTAGTCTAACATGGGATCTCTAAGAGTCATTGATTTTGAGATATTTAACATGACGATCGGCCCGGGCGAAGGCGAACATGGCTTCGATCGGACATGAACGAACACAAATTTAGACTTTTCACACATTTTAAAGGGAAGTACATCGCTAAAATTTGTGTAAAATAAGTAAGACACACTTGTTCATCACTTACAATAGGCAGTTCTGCGATCGAGTCCTAGTTAATAGTTCCAGAGGCAAAAGTGTTTTCACATCAAGCCGGCTTAAAACAATACATGCTTGATCAAGTGTTCCATTACAAACCAAAACATTGAGGACGTTTGGCGCGAAAACTATCCATTCAAAGTATCGGCTTTTTCAGTATCAAAGATTTAAAC